AATCTCTTCATATAATTTTATAAGGATCGGTCCATAATTGACCCTACCCCCCATATAAAGTCCCCTTCAGAAAATGACTTTATCGCCCATGACTGGCTAAGAAAAGCATCAATAGCGATGAAATTCGGCACAAACATGTTTTATAAGAATTTAAATCTCTTCGTAAAATTTTATAAGGATCGGTTTATAATTGACCCTACCCCCAATACAAGGGCCCCTTCAGAAATGACTTTAATGCTCATATCTGACTTTAAGAAACATATGTGCATATATATAGCAATAAATTCGACATAAAAAATTTTTATAGGAACTAAAATCATTTTCTTAAATTTTATGAGGGTGGGTCCATAATTGACCCTACCCCCCCATATAAGGTCTCCTTCAGAAAATGACTTTAAGGGACAAACTAGTTTTGTGTGAGCCAAAAGTTCTTTATCAAATTTTATAAGGATCGGTCCTTAATTAGCCCTATCCCCCTTGTAAGGTCCCCTTCAGAAAATGACTTTAAAGCTCATTACTAGCTTAAAACTGCGAGTACTGAGTACGACATGAACAATTTTCGCTACAATTTTAGCTACAATCTCTCACTAAATTTTATGAGGATCAGTCTGTAATTGACCATACCCCCCTATAAGGTCCCCTTCGGAAAATTACTTTAACGCTCATTACTGACTCAAAAATGCTATTACAGCAGTGAAATTCTACGTAAACAAGTTTTGTACTAGCCAAAAACTATTTATCGCATTTTATGGGGATCGGTCTATAACTGACCCCCACCCTCCATATAAGGTCCCCCTCAGATAGTGACTGTAACGCTCGTTACTGGCTGTAACGCTCAAATGCGACTACAGCGATGAAATTTCACATAAACAAGTTTTGTATGAGTTTATGGTTATAAATATTGGATCAAACAAAATTAATATTTTTAATTCGGAAGAGCACGGTCCATGCTTAAGCCTTTATTAAATTCCCTCTTCCAAATATTTCCCTGATGTTCATAATAATATCGACATATGATTCAACATAGATCGATAATATCAAAGTTTATTTATAAGGATGATTTGATGGTGGGTATATAAGATTCGGCATGGCCGAATATAACACTCTTACTTGTTTTTTTTGGTTTTGTGTAAATTTTATATTTTATGTTAGTGGTGGGTATTGACAATATAAACCTTTCCCAGAGGTATGTTTTATATATGCCTATAAATATAGGAGTATGATTTAAGTATTCTAGTAGGGGATTCTTTTATATTGAAAGTTTTTTGTTTTACGACTACGTGAAATTTTGTTTACTGTTGTTAGCGAGCCCTACATTAAGTAATAAACTAGCTGGCTATGAAAAGGCCGGAAATCAAGTAAAGTTAAATTGAAAATTTGTATCTCGAATCAGCGAGATAATTTGCAATCAGTCATATGCGTATCTTATTCCAAAAATAATACCTTTTCTTAATTTTGTTGCAGCGCTATTTAAGTTCGTTTTTAGTTCCTTTCTTTTCTCTTCAATTATCTTCAGAAGTATGAGGCTCTAAGACGACAAATATTTTGTATCTTATTTAACAATGTTACCGTAACAAGATCATAAAATGTATAACAAAAAATATAATGTTAAATAAGCCATATGCTAAATAATGAAATACAGAAATTCTTTATATTTTGTTTCTTTTCAAACAATAAAAACACAAAACGAAAACACCAACAGACAACGAAAAAGAAAACAAATCCCAAAACAAATATATTGACCACTTTTGTCATTCAAGCGCCATACACAGCAGCAAAACTGCGTACAAAGTCAGAGGTACAAGTGGGTAATAACGTGCCTTTAAACGGTTTTTAGGGTGATCCCAAAAGTAGACTTATCTTGATTACGGTTTGATTCAGTAGAACTAGAAACTGAACTAGTACTGAACTAGAACTGAACTAGAACTAGAACTAGAACTAGAACTAACTAGAACTGAACTAGAACTGAACTAGAACTGAACTAGAACTGAACTAGAACTGAACTAGAACTGAACTAGAACTGAACTACTAGAACTGAACTAGAACTGAACTAGAACTGAACTAGAACTGAACTAGAACTGAACTAGAACTGAACTAGAACTGAACTAGAACTGAACTAGAACTGAACTAGAACTGAACTAGAACTGAACTAGAACTGAACTAGAACTAGAACTGAACTAGAACTGAACTAGAACTGAACTAGAACTGAACTAGAACTGAACTAGAACTGAACTAGAACTGAACTAGAACTAGAACTGAACTAGAACTGAAAATTATCTGAACTATTTGTAGTGCTGTTCTAATTTTTAATTTTTTTATCGGGGCCTCCCTAATTATTTATAACACATTTTTTGAAGTTATAAAAACTTATTTGATTTGCCTTATTGACGTCCTATCCAATATAAATTCCGAATTCTGATTACAGGAGCATTGGTATTTCTTAGAGTTTTGCCGTTTTATTATTGACAATTTCTCCACATTTTTTTATGATTTATTAATATTCAAATTGTAATTTAAAGATGATGACAATTTTTCTTTCCTTCAGTTTTATTATTATATTATTTTTCTTTTTTTTTTTGCTCTTTAAGAATTCCATATTTAGCTGGGTGTTGATTTGCGTCTTATTTTCTGCATTTTTTACGATTATTATTATTTAGATTTCGATTTTGATTTTTATTTTTCTTGTTATATGATTTGGTACAATTTCATGTAGTTTATGACTTGTTTTCTTTTTTCGACTTTCTTTTGAACAATGAAATTGTATGTTTAAATATAAAAATCCTTGCCAAATTACTTTCCTTTACTTTGGCTACTCTTTTTGCTCGATACATAAAAATATCGAAGTGTGTGTTTGTTTAAATAAAATCAACATCATCAATTTTGCTTAAGGAGTATTTTATGGATATGTATATATAATTTGGTATTTTCATCTTTTTTTCACTGCTTGCTGTTTTTTGTTTTCTATTCGCTGAATATTTGCCAAATTGTTTTGAAAATAAGAATATACTTGAGGACAAAATCATTTGATTATTTGGACAATATGCAGTACATATTATAAAGATCTATATTTATGTATGTTTATATGTATACCCATCAAATCTTTTGTACGAAAAATACTAAATTCAGAATTACAATTTATCCGAGAAACAATGCCAACAATTTTGTGTAAGTGCTTTAAATTCGTTAAAACTAAAGTAATCCCTAATATTAATTACATATGTATATAGGGAATAAATTTAAAAAATTATTTGCCACAAAAATTAATTTCAACAATAAAAGGAGTTAGCACATTTTTAATATTTATCCTGAATTTTGTTTTGTTTCTTAAAACATATTTTTAAGTAGATCAATTAAACTATCATGGTTCATATGTATCATGGTTAATACTTACATATAATTATTCTTTTGTGATATTGATTTATTTTGAAAATTAATTACAGATCTAGTTTAGTTCTAGTTCAGTTCTAGTTCAGTTCTAGTTCAGTTCTAATTCAGTTCTAGTTCAGTTCTAGTTCAGTTCTAGTTCAGTTCTAGTTCAGTTTAGTTCAGTTCTAGTTCAGTTCTAGTTCAGTTCTAGTTCAGTTCTAGTTCAGTTCTAGTTCAGTTCTAGTTCAGTTCTAGTTCAGTTCTAGTTCAGTTCTAGTTCAGTTCTAGTTCAGTTCTAGTTCAGTTCTAGTCAGTTCTAGTTCAGTTCTAGTTCAGTTCTAGTTCAGTTCTAGTTCAGTTCTAGTTCAGTTCTAGTTCAGTTCTAGTTCAGTTCTAGTTCAGTTCTAGTTCAGTTCTAGTTCAGTTCTAGTTCAGTTCTAGTCAGTTCTAGTTCAGTTCTAGTTCAGTTCTAGTTCAGTTCTAGTTCAGTTCTAGTTCAGTTCTAGTTCAGTTCTAGTTCAGTTCTAGTTCAGTTCTAGTTCAGTTCTAGTTCAGTTCTAGTTCAGTTCTAGTTCAGTTCTAGTTCAGTTCTAGTTCAGTTCTAGTTCAGTTCTAGTTCAGTTCTAGTTCAGTTCTAGTTCAGTTCTAGTTCAGTTCTAGTTCAGTTCTAGTTCAGTTCTAGTCAGTTTCTAGTCAGTTCTAGTTCAGTTCTAGTTCAGTTCTAGTTTCAGTTCTAGTTCAGTTCTTAGTTCAGTTCTAGTTCTAGTTCAGTTCTAGTTCAGTTCTAGTTCAGTTCTAGTTCAGTTCTAGTTCAGTTCTAGTTCAGTTTCTAGTTCAGTTCTAGTTCAGTTCTAGTTCAGTTCTAGTTCAGTTCTAGTTCAGTTTCTAGTTCAGTTCTAGTTCAGTTCTAGTTCAGTTCTAGTTCAGTTTTAGTTCAGTTCTAGTTCAGTTCTAGTTCAGTTCTTGTTCAGTTCTAGTTCAGTTCTAGTTCAGTTCTAGTTCAAAACCTCAAAAACTCTTTAAATCAACTCAAAGAGTGTGATTAGACAAGGCCAACTATATATTCCTTTATTTTTCTGTTCATTTAAAATTAAGGTAGTAGAGGCTTATGTTTAAATTTCTACGTAATTTACTCATACATAAATACATACACAGTTAAATCGTTTGGAGTATTTTTTTTCCTAAGTTTTCTTTCAGTGTTGCCTCCTGTCTGCTTATAGGTCAGTTAAAACATATGTCATTTAATATATATTTTTTCTTTTCTAATATTTGAATTTTTGAATATGTTGTTGTCATTTCAGTTTTCATCTCTGTGTATGTTATTGGTGAACTATGTTCATAGTTGTTCACTGTACATTGAAATAAACATATACATACAACCATAAAAAATCTAATTTTCCACTTTGTAGCACATCATCACAATTTATCGAGAAAATGTGGAGAAAAAATATGTAGAATTTTCATAAACAAAAAACCATAAAAACATACATACATATGTGTTGATATGGGTTTTGTACTGCCGATAAGCATAATATGTGAGTTTGTATATATAATCTTGTTGTCCATACTTCTGTAGTTATACATGTATGATCATTGATTTTTAGGATTAAATTTAAATGGAGTTGTGATTTAGCATGTTTTAAAAATCGATTACAATTTATTTATCAAGTTTTTGATACAAATTAACAAATTTAAAGCAAAATGTCCTGGAAACAGCGTTTGAAAATATTTGTCAAGAGTTTTTTTGAATTGATGAACCAGTAGCAAATTTAATTTTGACCATTAAAAAATGGTCTATTTTATTAAATAACTACAACTATCTCACTAACAAGTAACATTTTATTTTTCCTTTGTTTCTTCCTTTTTCATTTCGTCCAACTTCTCACGTATATCTTCGATTGTACCCAAACATACTGATAACAGAAAAGCAATAATTATGGCTGCATAACCAGTGGCATAGAATTGCGGTTTCTCCAAAAACTTGGAAGTATCAAACAACAAATGGCGTAATCCGGCCACAAAGTGAAAAGCAAAAGGAAATGTCACAACAGTTTTTTGCAGACGTCCAGTAACAATCATCCAATTCAAGTTTCTTCAATTCACTAACAAAATAATCAACATTTTGATCGGTTACTAGAACAATTAGACCCACCACCCAGGCCATAACGCCCAAAGACATACCAGTCATTCTCAGAGTAATAGACATTATTGAGGTCATTTGTGGCTTGTAGATGGCTAAATGAGGTGAAAGAGCACGTTTTAAATCCTCACTTTTTGTTAATATAAGTTCTTGGGTATTATGCGAGGTGGCTGGTATAATTTTCTTCTAATCGGAGGTGGACTTACAGGAAACAAACTGCAGACGATTTAGATTCCACAAAGTGTTTGATTAGCGATAAAAGGCATGTTGACTTTGTAGTTAAGTGTTTGAGTGAAATGTTCCTGAAAAATAGACAAAGTTCAAAATTTTCTTCACAACTAAATAATTGTTACCACACTCACATCCTTTACTTCAGAAAATTATTTTTTATTTTGCCTTCTATTTTTAATTTATTTATTGACGAAATAAAAATCATGCAAACCCAACACACCTATGTTTCGCCTGTTTACGATTTCTTTAATTGTTTACGAATTCATTATAGTTCAGCTCTAGTTTCAGTTCTAGTTCAGTTCTAGTTCAGTTCTAGTTCAGTTCTAGTTCAGTTCATCGAGTTCAGTTCTAGTTCAGTTCTAGTTCAGTTCATAGTTCAGTTCTAGTTCAGTTCTAGTTCAGTTCTAGTTCAGTTCTAGTTCAGTTCTAGTTCAGTTCTAGTTCAGTTTTAGTTCAGTTCTAGTTCAGTTCTAGTTCAGTTCTAGTTCAGTTCTAGTTCAGTTCTAGTTCAGTTCTAGTTCAGTTCTAGTTCAGTTCTAGTTCAGTTCTAGTTCAGTTCTAGTTCAGTTTCTAGTTCAGTTCTAGTTCAGTTCTAGTTCAGTTCTAGTTCAGTTCTAGTTCAGTTCTAGTTCAGTTCTAGTTCAGTTCTAGTTCAGTTCTAGTTCAGTTCTAGTTCAGTTCTAGTTCAGTTCTAGTTCAGTTCTAGTTCAGTTCTAGTTCAGTTCTAGTTCAGTTCTAGTTCAGTTCTAGTTCAGTTCTAGTTCAGTTCTAGTTCAGTTCTAGTTCAGTTCTAGTTCAGTTCTAGTTCAGTTCTAGTTCATTTCTAGTTCAGTTCTAGTTCAGTTCTAGTTCAGTTCTAGTTCAGTTCTAGTTCAGTTCTAGTTCAGTTCTAGTTCAGTTCTAGTTCAGTTCTAGTTCAGTTCTAGTTCAGTTCTAGTCAGTTTCTAGTTCAGTTCTAGTTCAGTTCTAGTTCAGTTCTAGTTCAGTTCTAGTTCAGTTCTAGTTCAGTTCTAGTTCAGTTCTAGTTCAGTTCTAGTTCAGTTCTAGTTCAGTTCTAGTTCAGTTCTAGTTCAGTTCTAGTTCAGTTCTAGTTCAGTTCTAGTTCAGTTCTAGTTCAGTTCTAGTTCAGTTCTAGTTCAGTTCTAGTTCAGTTCTAGTTCAGTTCTAGTTCAGTTCTAGTTCAGTTCTAGTTCAGTTCTAGTTCAGTTCTAGTTCAGTTCTAGTTCAGTTCTAGTTCAGTTCTAGTTCAGTTCTAGTTCAGTTCTAGTTCAGTTCTAGTTCAGTTCTAGTTCAGTTCTAGTTCAGTTCTAGTTCAGTTCTAGTTCAGTTCTAGTTCAGTTCTAGTTCAGTTCTAGTTCAGTTCTAGTTCAGTTCTAGTTCAGTTCTAGTTCAGTTCTAGTTCAGTTCTAGTTCAGTTCTAGTTCAGTTCAGTTCTAGTTCAGTTCTAGTTCAGTTCTAGTTCAGTTCTAGTTCAGTTTCTAGTTCAGTTCTAGTTCAGTTCTAGTTCAAGTTCTAGTTCAGTTCTAGTCAGTTCTAGTTCAGTTCTAGTTCAGTTCTCGTTCAGTTCTAGTTCAGTTCTAGTCAGTTCTAGTTCAGTTCTAGTTCAGTTCTAGTTCAGTTCTAGTTCAGTTCTAGTTCAGTTCTAGTTCAGTTCTAGTTCAGTTCTAGTTCAGTTCTAGTTCAGTTCTAGTTCAGTTCTAGTTCAGTTTCAGTCTAGTTCAGTTCTAGTTCAGTTCTAGTTCAGTTCTAGTTCAGTTCTAGTTCAGTTTCTAGTTCAGTTCTAGTTCAGTTCTAGTTCAGTTTCTAGTTCAGTTCTAGTTCAGTTCTAGTTAAGTTCTAGTTCAGTTCTAGTTCAGTTCTAGTTCAGTTCTAGTTCAGTTCTAGTTCAGTTTAGTTCAGTTCTAGTTCAGTTCTAGTTCAGTTCTAGTTCAGTTCTAGTTCAGTTCTAGTTCAGTTCTAGTTCAGTTCTAGTTCAGTTCAGTTCAGTTCTAGTTCAGTTCTAGTTCAGTTCTAGTTCAGTTCTAGTTCAGTTTAGTTCAGTTCTAGTTCAGTTCTAGTTCTTAGTTCAGTTTCTAGTTCAGTTCTAGTTCATTCTAGTTCAGTTCTAGTTCAGTTCTAGTTCAGTTCTAGTTCAGTTCTAGTTCAGTTCTAGTTCAGTTCTAGTTCAGTTCTATTCAGTTCTAGTTCAGTTCTAGTTCAGTTTCTAGTTCAGTTCTAGTTCAGTTCTAGTTCAGTTCTAGTTCAGTTCTAGTTCAGTTCTAGTTCAGTTCTAGTTCAGTTCTAGTTCAGTTCTAGTTCAGTTCTAGTTCAGTTCTAGTTCAGTTCTAGTTCAGTTCTAGTTCAGTTCTAGTTCAGTTCTAGTTCAGTTCTAGTTCAGTTCTAGTTCAGTTCTTTCAGTTCTAGTTCAGTTCTAGTTCAGTTCTAGTTCAGTTCTAGTTCAGTTTCTAGTTCAGTTCTAGTTCAGTTCTAGTTCTAGTTCAGTTCTAGTTCTAGTTCTAGTTCAGTTCAGTTCAGTTCTAGTTCAGTTCAGTTCTAGTTCTAGTTCAGTTCTAGTTCAGTTCAGTTCTAGGTTAGTTCTAGTTCAGTTCTAGTTCAGTTCTAGTTCAGTTCTAGTTCAGTTCTAGTTCAGTTCTAGTTCAGTTTCAGTTCAGTTCTAGTTCAGTTCTAGTTCAGTTCTAGTTCAGTTCTAGTTCAGTTCTAGTTCAGTTCTAGTCAGTTCTAGTTCAGTTCTAGTTCATTCTAGTTCAGTTCTAGTTCAGTTCTAGTTCATTTCTAGTTCAGTTCTAGTTCAGTTCTAGTTCAGTTCTAGTTCAGTTCTAGTCAGTTCTAGTTCAGTTCTAGTTCTAGTTCTAGTTTCTAGTTCAGTTCTAGTTCAGTTCTAGTTCAGTTCTAGTTCAGTTCTAGTTCAGTTCTAGTTCAGTTCTAGTTCAGTTCTAGTTCAGTTCTAGTTCAGTTCTAATTCAGTTCTAGTTCAGTTCTAGTTCAGTTCTAGTTCAGTTCTAGTTCAGTTCTAGTTCAGTTCTAGTTCAGTTCTAGTTCAGTTCTAGTTCAGTTTCTAGTTCAGTTCTAGTTCAGTTCTAGTTCAGTTCTAGTTCAGTTCTAGTTCAGTTCTAGTTCAGTTCTAGTTCAGTTCTAGTCAGTTCTAGTTCAGTTCTAGTTCAGTTCTAGTCAGTTCTAGTTCAGTTCTAGTTCAGTCTAGTTCAGTTCTAGTTCAGTTCTAGTTCAGTTCTAGTTCAGTTCTAGTTCAGTTCTAGTTCAGTTCTAGTTCAGTTTATTCATAATTTTAGTTCTAGTTCAGTTCATAGTTTATTTCTAGTTTAGTTTTTAATTCAGTTCTAGCTCTGTTTCTCTGTTTCATTTCAATTGATTAGAGATCAGTAATTTATTTTTTGATTTTTTTAACTTTTTCATTTCAAGAAGATCTTTTCTTCATTTTTGTCCAAAGATCTTGTTTATGTAAAAATATTTGATTACCTCTTTAACTGGTTATGACAAGTATTTTTAAACTCAAAATAAATATGAAATTTTATAAGAAAAAACACGTAGATGAAACTCACACACGCACCTTGTTATGTAGAAATTGTGTAAAAATATTTACAAAAATGGACGAAAATAAACAAGTAAGTGTGTTATATTCGGCTGTGCCGAATCTTGTATACCCACCATCAAATCATTGCCAAAAAGGAATGATATAATGCTTTGATATTTAAGAATCAATGCTTTTGTTATTATCAAAACAATTTTCTCATTTATTACATTTATGTATAGAGAAATTTTTGTCGAATTTTGTCGCTGTACTTGTATGTTTAAGGTAGTAAAAAGCGTTAAAGTTATTTTCTGAGAGGGACCTTATTTAGGGGGGACGTTTGGTCAATTATGGACCGATCCTCGTCAAATTTTCTAGAAGGGACCTTATATGGGGGGAAGGATCAATTATGGACCGATCGTTATAAAAAATTTAGGTTTCTATAGAATATGTTCATGTCGAATTTCATCGCTATATATGCTTGTTTTAGACGGTTATGAGCCTTAAAGCCATTTTCTGAAGGGGACCTTATATGGGGTCAATTATGGAGCGATCCTTATAAAATTTTACAAAGATATTAAGGTTCCCATAAAATATGTTTATGTCGAATTTAATCGCTATAGCGGCTTCTTTTAGTCAGTTATGAGCATTAATGTCATTTTCTGAAGGGGACCTTATATGGGATAGGGTCAATTATGAACCGATCCTTATAAAATTTTACAATGATATTAAGGTTCCTATAAAATATGTTTATGTCGAATTTCATTGCTATAGATGCTTCTTTTAGACAGTTATGAGCCTTAAAATATTTTTCTGAAGGGGACCTTATCTGGAGGTAGGGTCAATTATGTACAGATACTTATAAAATTTTATAATGATATTAAGGTTCCTATAAAATATGTTTATGTCGAATTTCATCGCTATAGCTGCTTCTTTTAGTCAGTTATGAGCGTTAATGTCAAAAGGGTCAATTATGGACCGATCCTTATAAAATTCTACAAAGATATTAAGGTTTATAAAAAATATGTTTATGTCGAATTTCATCGCTATAGCTGCTTTTTTTAGTCAGTTATGAGCGTTAATGTAATTTTCTGAGGGGGCCTTATATGGGGGCTAGGCGAAATCGTGGACCGATATTTCCCATTTTCAATACCAAACAAACTGCATCAATATAAAATATTTGTGCAAAATTTCAGCTCGCTAGCTGCTCGTTTGGACTCTATCGTGTTTTCAACAGACAGACGGACAGACAGACGGACAGACGGACGGACATGGCTAGATCATCTTAGAATTTAATAAGGATCCAGAATATATATACTTTTATGGGTCTTAAATGAATATTTCTATGTGTTACAAACGGAATGACAAAAACAATATACCCCCCATCTTTTTTGATGGTGGGTATAAAAAGGTAAACACAGAAAACATGGCTGGTGCAGTGACTGAATATAAAACGAGATTTTTTCTCTCTTTAAATTAACTTTTCACATTTTATATTTATGTTGGATTTTTAATAATATTTCGTGTATTCATATATGTAAAAGTTAATGTTTCTGAGGAAGATGACGAAGAGGATGATGATCAAAGTGGTCATGATGATTTTTTACTTTTATCTGGTGTTGCAAATATGAAGTTATTTATGTGTGGCACATGCATTTGTTAAAGTATGAAAATACCAGCGAATGCAGGTAAATCAGTCAGATAGAGAGAGGTAGAAAGAGTAAGAGAAAACAACAAGAACGATTTTTTCTTGCAAATACAATATGTCCATCAACAAATGTTGTAATGTTTGTAGACAACAAATACTGTTGCAGTAGCTGCAGCACAATTTATCTGAACCTTAACAAGTGTATATGCTTGTGGCAGGAAACGGAAATGAAGCAAAAATATTGCTCATATTTAACAACTGTTATAACAAAACTTCACAGTTGCAAAAGAAGTTGTAACAACAATAGCACCACGAAACACACCGACGTGACAAAACCTGACAGAGGTAAAAACGGACTCATACACACAAATTTAAATACACAAATACGTGGTAACAAAAAAAATCAAAATATTTTCACAACATTACAAAACTTATAAAAGCAAAAAAACAAGAATTAAACAAAATTATAACCAACGAAATATGTAGTGTATATGAGTGAGTACGTATGTATATTCATATACATACATATAAAACATAAATGGTGTAGCTTAAAATCTCTTTAAAATACAAACGCTCTCGAATACAAATACATTTAGTTGACCAAACAGCAACAGGTGAGGTTTGGTCAATTATAGATCGATTTTAGGCTAGTAATGAGCGTTAAAGCCATTTGTGAAGGGGACCTTATATGGGGGAAGGGTCAATTATGAACCGATCCTTATAAAATTTTACAAAACGATTTACGTTCCTATAAAATATGTTCATGTAGAATTTCATCGCTATAGATGCTTCTTTTAGTCAGTTATAAGCGTTAAAGTCATTTTCTGAAGGGAAGCTTATATGGGGGATAGGGTCATTTATGGACCGATCCTTATAAAATTTTGCAATGATATTAAGGTTCCTATAAAATATGTTCATGTCAAATTTCATCGCCATGGATGCTTCATTAAGGCTGTTATGAGCTTTAAAGTCATTTTCTGAAGGGGATCTTATATGGGGGTAGGGTCAATTATGGACTGACCTTCGTAAAATTTTACAAAGCTATTTAGGTTTCTATAAAATAGGTTCATGTCGATTTCCATCGCTATAGATGCTTCTCTTAGACAGTTATGAGCGTTAAAGTCATTTTCTGAAGGGAATCTTATATGGGGGGTAGGGTCAATTATGGACCGATCATTATAAAATTTTACAAAGCGATTAAGGTTCCTATAAAATATGTTCACGTCGAATTTCATCGCCATAGATGCTTCTTTTGGACAGTTATGAGCGTTAAAGTCATTTTCTGAAGGGGACCTTATAGGGCGGCTAGGGTCAATTATGGACCGATCCTTATAACATTTTACAAAGCGATTTAGGTTTATAAAGAATATGTTCATGTCGAATTTCATCGCTATAGAAGCTTCTATTAGACAGTTATGAGCGTTAAAGTCGTTTTCTGAAGGGGACCTTATATGGGGGTAGGGTCAATTATGGACCGATCCTTATAAAAATCTACAAAGATTTTAGGGTTCCTATAAAATATGTTTATGTCGAATTTCATCGCTATAGGTGCTTCTTTTAGTCAGTTATGAGCGTTAAAGTCGTTTTCTGAAGGGGACCTTATATGAGGGCTAGGCGAAATCGTGGACCGATATTGCCCATTTTCAATACCAAATGAACTGCATCAACTAAAAGTATCTATGCAAAATTTCTCTAGCTACTTCCGTTTGGGCTCTATCTTGTTTTCAACAGACAGACGGACGGACATGGCTAGATCGTCTTAGAATCTAATAAGGACCCAGAATATATATACTTTTATGGGTCTTAGACGAATATTTCAATGTGTTACAAACGGAATGACAAAAACAATATACCCCCCATCTTTTTTGATGGTGGGTATAAAAACATATGAATGGTTTTCATTATGTAAATCCTGACACTGCAGCAACAATTTTTACATGTTCAAAATTATAACATAAAAGATAACATTTTCGGATAACTGAAATAGAACTGAGCTAAAAAACTGAATTAATCCTAATAGAAAAAAATAAAAAAAATTCACGCTACATTTTCTACTAGATGAACATAAGGCGAAGCAATTATAAATCTAATTAAAATTCCTTCTGCCTAAATATATACTTCTTCCTTATTTTAAAATCCAATCAAATCTATATTTTCTAACACACAAAAACACACATACGTTTATTATTCATACATACATACTCGTATATAAAATAATTAATTTACTTACTCCTTTAAGACAATCAGCCAATATTGTCACTTTAGTGATTTTAATTAAAATTTAACAAAAACAAACATTTATGTATTAAATTTAGATAGAAATATGTATGTATGTATGTATGTACAACATGCAACATTTTATAACAATCAGTAAACCTTTCACTCATACTTTATTGAACAAATTATTGACAACTTTACAAAATCGTTTACTTTCGGTAATGCCTAGAGATGGAGTTAATAAAAGGATAATTTTAAAATAATGACGAAAAATTTTGGTGTTCAAAAAAATTCTATAACGACCCTTTCTATTGTTGTTGTTAATGATTTTTTCTTTTATAATAATTTCAAATTTAAAAGTAACTATGTCCTTCTATTATTCCTATAACAACATTGTCAAGATGACTTCAAAAAAAAAATTACCTGAATTTTTAATTAAATAATGACAAAGGCAAATGTTGATAAAACTAAATCGATTTATTTAACTGAAACACAATGGTCGGAAAAACATTTAATAAACAAAACATACAAAATGGCAGCAACACGGACAAAAGCCGATTATAAGCAAAGTTTGGGAGGGGGATACAGTAGAAATGGTTGAGAGGAATAGAAATATCTATCTATCTATCTATCTATCTATCTATCTATCTATCTATCTATCTATCTATCTATCTATCTATCTATCTATCTATCTATCTATCTATCTATCTATCTATCTATCTATCTATCTATCTATCTATCTATCTATCTATCTATCTATCTATCTATCTATCTATCTATCTATCTATCTATCTATCTTCTATCTATCTATCTATCTATCTATCTATCTATCTATCTATCTATCTATCTATCTATCTATCTATCTATCTATCTATCTATCTATCTATCTATCTATCTATCTATCTATCTATCTATCTATCTATCTATCTATCTATCTATCTATCTATCTATCTATCTATCTATCTCTATCTATCTATCTATCTATCTATCTATCTATCTATCTATCTATCTATCTATCTATCTATCTATCTATCTATCTATCTATCTATCTATCTATCTATCTATCTATCTATCTATCTATCTATCTATCTATCTATCTATCTCTATCTATCTATCTATCTATCTATCTATCTATCTATCTACTATCGGATCTGTATTTTAGATTTTTTTCTATAAAATAATTCAGTTCATTCCACTGTTCATTGTATTACATTGTTAGTTGACATTAAAATATTTGTTGTAGACTTTCATTATAACAATTTCGATTAAATGTCAACTAATCAGATTTTATAACACTTACCTTTGAAAAGTTGGTAAAGAAAAGTGTGTATGTAGCAATAATGTTAAATGAAACTACAGATTTCAAGGAGGAGGGGCTGGTGTGTTATTGTAAAGACCTTAGAAACATTAAATAGACAGAGTGGTGTACTTTGCTTTGTTTTTAAGTTCAATGCAAAAAAGTAATTAGACAACCATTACCATGGTCATATTTGTATAGAAACCAAACAAGCGTTTTTTTAATATCTTGCTGCGTAAATTTTTATTTAATTTTTGAAAAATTAAATTGAAATTTATGAAATTCAGCTATAGATTGTCTTTTAACATCAAATAAGGGAATGTTACCTTTAAAATATTTGTAAGAAGAACTTGTTTTTAAGCTTAATTAACATTAAATAGCATTCAAGAAATACATTTTTATCAATATTTTTTATCTATTCCATCAGGGATAACTTCATTTTAATTACTTTATTATACTGCTGTTTAGCTACAGTTTTTTTTTCTACATTTATTTATGGACTTTAAGAGTAAAATACTATTATCAGGTAAATCTAAATAAAACCAAAACCTACACTCGTTTATTGAAATCACTTTCTAGTGGCAGAATGACTTTTTACATCTGTGTACACAAGTGTATGTGACAGTATTTACAGTGGAAAATTTTCAATGTTGATGTGTGGGTTACATTATGTAGTACATAGAACTTTTTTTGTGTTACCACATCCGTGGACAAGTAATCAAAGTTTATAAATGTTAATTAAATAAAATGATTTTGCATTTTACAACAAAGTAAAGTAAAGTTAAGGAAAAAATCTAAAACAAAAAAAAAATACTTTTAATTAAAAATCTAAAAGCTTAAAACAAACATTTGCATTACTTTTGATAATGTATTAATGTGGCAAAACAACAACAAAATAATGAGTGGAAAAGTCAATGAGGCGCATAAATAATGATGTAGCTATGTATGTATGTATATAGTATACATACGCCATAGAAAAGTGTGAGTATTAGAGTGAGTGAAAATGAAGAAAAAAAAATATTCAAAATATTTGTTGGCATTTTAATGACACTAAATTAAAGAATTTATTCCAAGTATAAGTGACAACTGATAAGGTGTCCTATGAATAAATACTAAAAAGAAGGAACATAAATTAAAGGCAAGAATTTCTAGTGATTTTTTACGGACTATAAAAACGAAGTTTAATAAATGTAAATATTTAATTTTGAAAAATTTTTTATTGGCACTTTAAATCTTAATTGTCCACATCATTTTATTTGTAGTAGATAATATTTAAGTCATTAAGTTTATTAAATTGTAATATTTTTTTAAGATCACTACGAAAATCGTTATTTAGACTTACATAAAACTCAGTTTTGCCAATTTTTTAACATTTAACATAATTATAAGCTCAAAAGCTCTATTCCGGTGGTCCGGTTGTAGGGGGGCTAGGTGTAATAATGGACCGATTTCAACAATTTTCAATAGCGTTTGCCCAAATTAGGCGTAGGTGCTAAATTTCATTAAATTATCTTAAAAATTGCGGCCTGTAGCGTGCGCACAAAGTTTACATGGACACACAGACGGACATAGCTAAATCAACTCAGAAAGTGATTATGTGCCGATTGGTATATTTTAAGGTGGGTGTAGGATCAATATTTTTGGGTGTTACAAACAACAGCACAAACGCATAAACTACAACCCCCCCCCCCTATTATAGTGGTGTAGGGTATTAATAGGTAGACAGACATACTGACCGCCATGCACATAGTTTTAAGAGGGACATACATACTTACGGAAAGTTGTGAATAAAATTATTTATTAACTATTACATTATTTAGCTTTAATTTTAAACTTAAACATAAACTCACTTAGTTGAATGGTAAACGTATATCTAACTCATGTTTATACCCTACACCACTTTAGTGGAAAGGGTTTATTGGATTTGTGCTGATGTTTGTAATGTCCCTAACAGTATACCAATTGGGTAAGAGTTATTTCCTGAGTCGATTGTACCATTGCCATAGTCCAGTCCATATCATTTTTTCATATCTCATATCTTCCAAACCGTTTGGAATTTTGATTTACTCTCTGAGGCAAAGTTTTAGCTCTTGTCATATAGAACAAAAATTTTGAACATATAAAAAACTTGATTTTCAACTTTTAAAAAATAAATTTTTTACTTGTCTTTTTCTAAATTAGGCGTATACTTAATATTTGTAATATCACGTATAACACGTATACGTACAGGTGTCGTTAATAAAATCAATGCAATTTCACTATTTAAAACTTTCCACTTGAAATTAATTTATCATCAATAAATTGTTTAAATATATCGGAGGCAAGTTAAAATTTAATATAATTGCTTTATTATAAAAAGTATATTACAATTGTAGGTTATCATATGGTCGGTCACGCCCATCTAAAAATTCTTACTTGTTAATAATATAAAATATTCTCCATCATATTTTCTGATATGAATGAGTTTGTATGAGTAGTTATGGCAAGCGATGCGGATGTGAATGATGAAAGCAATACTCACTGTCCAAAGAATAGTTTTAATTAAAATGCATTCTTGTAGCAAAAACTTACATACATACATAAATATATGTATATATATTACATATACAGACATAATTATAAACAAACAGAACGACCAAGAAAAAGTAAACTTGAAATTTATGTATAATTTTTTTTTCAGATTTATCAGAAATTTAAGTTTAATATAATAATATAAAAAATAATAATTTTAATAAAGATCCAATCATAAGAGGTTATTCTTATAAAGTATTATCTTTCGATTAACCAAGGATTCTTAAATAATTTCAATTAAATTTTTTTGCATCCTTATATTGAAGTCCTTTTAAAAAGTATATGTATATGTAACTATTTGAAATAAATACTTATGCATGTATGAGTGTATGTACATTGTACATCTATATTAGAATATATATATTTATGAAGAGTATTTAATTTGTAACCATAACTGTGGTTTTTCCTCTATTATACATACATATACATACATATGTATATCCATATTCACATTGTTTAAATATTTTATTGGTTTTTATTGCATAAACCACATTCTTTAAAATAGTGTATTATTTGCATTCATATCTATGATTGAGTGGTTTATTTCGAGTATGAATTATAAATTTCATTTTCAATAATATTAACTAATTATTGATGATGATGCTTGTTTAACAATTTAACCACAAACATATTTAAACGTGTATTTCATATCACGGAAACTTGTCTATTTTACACCGTTTATTTGTTGCGTTATAGAGGATTTTACGTATGTATGTGTATGTGGTCAGTATTTTAAAGCCATAATTGTAAATATTGAATAGAAGTGTTTAAAAAAATTACGATTTTTAAAATACATAATCATATTTTATAAATAATTCATACTTAGATTAATAAAAATAAAAAATGCCTATATGAAAAAAAAGATATATTTATAACGTAACAGTAAAAAATATTCCCCTGAGATCCAACCAAGTATATATGTATATTGCGGTTCCTTATGAAATTCAAAGACGATCTATATATGTCCGTCTATTTGTCTGCCTAAAACACGCTCATGTTTAAACTAAGCAAATGAAATCAAACAAATTTAGTGAAAATATTCGCCATAATTTCAGAATACTAAGAAAAAAAGTAAATTTTTTCATTATACTCGAGTCGTTTTCTCAAAAACTACTGAAAATAATTTAATGAATTCATCATAATACTACGAACGAGACAATACTAGGCTCGAATAGACCAGACTAGATTACAGACTAGATTAGACTAGACTACAGACTAGATTATAAACTATAAACTAGACTTTAGACTAGACTATAGACTAGACTATAGACTAGACTATAGACTAGACTATAGAATAGACTATAGAATAGACTATAGAATAGACTATAGACTAGACTATAGACTAGACTATAGACTAGACTAGACTATAGACTAGACTATAGACTAGACTATAGACTAGACTATAGACTAGACTATAGACTAGACTATAGACTAGACTATAGACTAGACTATAGACTAGACTATAGACTAGACTATAGACTAGACTATAGACTAGACTATAGACTAGACTATAGACTAGACTATAGACTAGACTATAGACTAGACTATAGACTAGACTATAGACTAGACTATAGACTAGACTATAGACTAGACTATAGACTAGACTATAGACTAGACTATAGACTAGACTATAGACTAGACTATAGACTAGACTATAGACTAGACTATAGACTAGACTATAGACTAGACTATAGAATAGACTATAGACTAGACTATAGAATAGACTATAGAATAGACTATAGACTAGACTATAGAATAGACTATAGACTAGACTATAGACTAGACTAGACTATAGACTAGACTATAGACTAGACTATAGACTAGACTATAGACTAGACTATAGACTAGACTATAGACTAGACTATAGACTAGACTATAGACTAGACTATAGACTAGACTATAGACTAGACTATAGACTAGACTATAGACTAGACTATAGACTAGACTATAGACTAGACTATAGACTAGACTAGACTACTAGACTAGACTATAGACTAGACTATTGGCTAGACTATAGACTAGACTATTGGCTAGATAATAGACTGTAAACTATTCCTTTAAAATTGTGAGTATTCAATTAATACTTTGACTGTCTCATTTACTTCACTGATTTTTAATAAATTTTCAACTACACTGTTTCATTAATTAAATTAATAAATTAATTAATTTTATATTTTATTTTCATTAAATATTTCATTTATGCAATTAGTTAATTTGATTTTAACTGCCTTATTCATAATAAGTTATCAAAGGTTTATAGAATCAATTTTGTATGAAAAACTATCTTATAAAACTTTGATAAATTCTTATGAATAGGGCCCTAATTATTATGATTATTTCTTGAAATGGAACGAAAAGTATTTTTTTACTTTTTTACGTATGCGATAATTTATATCATAATTTTGTTGATAGGAGCAAAACTTGTTTGATATAACTAATTTGATAATTGTATGTATGATTAGTCTCTAATTTATTTGCAATTTAAAGAGTATTTTACAAACTCACTACCTTGTTATATATTTCTCTTCTATAAATCAAGAGTAAATTCCTATCTAACTGCATTAGCTTGAGAGCTGTTGAAAGTGTTATCAGAGTTTATATTTACTCATTACGATAACAAGGGAAATCAACAAACAAAATAACTACAAACAACTTTCATTAACAACTGAAGGTTTTAAGGCAGCAGAATGCTAAAAATTAAATTAATTATAATTTCAATAATAATAATATGTTTTTTTCGGTCACCTATAGAAGTAGAAACCGCAAAAATTTTGGCCATTTCAGGACTACCACAACCAAATAAATATGCTGCCATAATTTCCATACTAAATGGTCTCAATGAAAAAGGCCATCAAATAACATTAGTTATAAGAAATACTAAACACGCTCAACTACATGAAAATATACGTCAAATATTGATACGAGAAAATGAAGAAATCTATAAAGGTAGGTTAGTTTCGTAAAACTAAAATAATAACTAATTTGTGTTATTTTTTCCAGAATTTCTAGCTTTTTCCACGAGTATTTTGGATAAAAGTTTCTTTAAAAATCTACAAAGCTTATTTAGAAAAGGTATTTTCATAACTGCGGATATCATTAATAATCCCAGTGTTAAGGAGATTATGCAACATGAACAATTTGATTTGATAATATTTGAAACATTTATGGTCGAGGCCCTTTATGGTTTGGGAGAATACTTCAATGCTCCCATGGTGGGTATGTCAAGTTTTGGTACTACTACCGCCTTAGACGCTTTAGTGGGCAATATATCACCCATATCTTTTATACCCACACTATTCATACAGCATTTATTTGATGTGACTTTTTGGCATCGCTGTTTAAATGTGGCTTTAAATGTGGTTGATAGAATGATCTTTGATATATTATATCTACCACATCAGCGTAGACTCTATGAAGAACACTTTCCTAATGCTACTCTAACATTTGAACAGGTAAATCGTAATTTTTCTTTGGTGTTAGTAAATCAACATTTTTCTTTAAATTTTCCTCGGCCTTATGTCCCCAATATGATAGAAATGGCTGGTGTACATATAGACAGTAAATTAGAACTATTGCCTTTAAATGTTCAATACTTCTTAGATAACTCTCCTCAGGGTGTCATCTATTTTTATTGGGGAGAGCAAACCTTTAATGTGGATCTCAATATCTCTGCCCTACTACTCAACCTTTTTAAAAATCTAAATTTTAAAGTTATCTTTAACATAGACAATAAGCCACCTCAAGAGAAACAACAATATAAACATATTCTTCAGATTTCAAATACCTCTCATCATTCCATATTGGCACATCCTAATGTGAAATTATCTATAATAACTGGTGATTTATTAAATGTAATAGATACGGTTTATTTTGCAAAACCAGTTTTGGGCATACCCACCATTGCCCATCAGCATTTTAACATTAATATGGCCATAAAAATGGGTTATGGTTTGGGTCTAAAACTACAACAACTCAATGAAACAATGCTGAAAAATACTATTTTAGAACTTTTAAATAATCCTCTTTATACTCAAAAAGTCAAGGAATTATCAAGAGTTTTTCGTGATCAACCCATGACACCTAAAGAGACGGTCTTGTTTTGGATTGAATATGTGTTGAGACATGACGGTGCCCTGCATTTGCGGAATAAAGGACGATTTTTGAATTTTTGGCAATTTTATAATGTGGATGTTATATTAGCCTTTACGGGAGCATTTGGTTTAATTGTATTTTGCATTTGGATATTAATGAAATGTATGTATTTTCTATGGTGTAGAAGTAAGATAAATTTACAAATAAAAGTTAAAAGTAATTGAAAATTAATAAAATTAAAAAACGAATTCTTTATTGAAATTAACAAATTTCAACTTTTTATTAAAAGATAAAATTTTCATCAAAATTACATTAAAAATGTTCATTCAAAGGTCTGTCTGTCTGTCTGTCTGTCTGTCTGTCTGTCTGTCTGTCTGTCTGTCTGTCTGTCTGCCTGTCTATCTGTCTGTATGTCTGTATGTCCGTATGTCTGTCTGTCTGTCTGTCTGTCTGTCTGTCTGTCTGTCTGTCTGTCTGTCTGTCTCTCTATCTGTCTGTCTGTCTGTCTGTCTGTCTGTCTGTCTGTCTGTCTCTCTATCTGTCTGTCTGTCTGTCTTAGTGTCTGTCATTCTGTATGTAGAAATCAATTTTCTAAAAACCCTAGATATTTTAGGGATTTAGGGATCCAAATAATTCTTTCAAATATGCTTTTGTTTCCTATTTAAAATTATCAAAATCGATCCATAAATAACGGAGATATGAACAAAAATGCAAACAATACATGCCATTATGATAACCTTGGCCATAAAAGATATCTCTTCATGCTATAGCTAGGTTCACTCAATAGGATTTTAGTCCCATTATTCCAAGAGGCATCTCTATATAGCAAGTACATTCGGCTCTCTTACAATCCAATACAGTTGTAGATTTAACTTTATCCACTGATATCGTCCTACTTGCTATATGCCTATCGATCAGGATATAAGCCACTGTTTCGAAAGCTAGTGTTGTGATTAAGAAGGCGGTAGTATAGCTCGGTTGTCGGTTTTATATCATTGTTTAAAAACATCCTTGTAACAACGGATTTTCCATGTAATGTTCTGCTTGACAACAAACTCTTTTCTGGATCCTGATAATTCATATTTATGCAATCGAACGCGCCTGATATTTATATAAAACCGTCCAACAAGACAAGTATACTTTGATGACACGTCTAGAGTTAAGAGTCGCTCGGCTGTGAGTGCCGCCTCATACCTATTTCGATTAAAAGGATATATTGCAATATTTTCAGAGCATTGGTTAATGTAGTATTTCTATATGAAGTTCAAATCATTTTCTTACGGGGACTTTGTATGGGGTTAGATTTTCTAAGTTTTCCATCAGTTTAAATGGATATTTAAGAGGGTATGTCTGAGTATGGCCTCCACTTGTCAAAACATAATACTTGGAACAGCTTTGCAAAGTAAAAACTGTGGAAAGCCAAACCACTGTTATCGGACTGCCACCTTTAAGAGGTGGCAAGCAAAGTGTTCTTCAACTCAAACTTGAATTGCGATAGCAAAATTCCCAAAATTCACATCTCATGTTCTGGCGGTGGATATATACGATTCAGCATAGCGATTCAGCTTACTTCTTAATCTTCTACTCATTCGATATAACGTCACTCGTTTAGCTCCCATTCACCAATTTACAAAACAGCTTTCAACTACAAATAAGCTTTTTATACCCTCCACCACCATCAGTGGTGATAGAGGGTATATATAAGTTTGTCGTTCCGTGTGTAACACCAAGAAATATTCATCTAAGACCCAACAAAGTATATATATTCTGGGTCCTTATCAAATTCTGAGTCGATTTAGCTATGTCCGTCTGTCCGTCTGTCTGTCTGTCTGTCTGTCTGTGTAAAACACGCTCACGTTAAAACTAATCAAAGGAAATAAACCAAATTCACCTAAAATATTTGTTATTATCCTAAGCAGTTTGGTATTGAAAATCAGCAAAATCGGTTCACAACGTAAAAAGTTATGAGTAAAAATTTCAGACTACCTCGAAAAAAATTACGTTTTTTTCATAATTCTTTTGAAGTTTTCTCAGAAACTACCAAAGATATTTCGATGAATTTTGTCATACATTATTTTTTCGGAGTAGTGATCAATTATGTTCAAAATCTTTACAATCGATCCAATATTTCCCATAGCCCCCATACAAAGGTATATATTCCCGGAAATTAGTTTATCGTTAATAACTCCCTCAAATATATCGGTATCAACACGAAATTTTGTACATGTAAATATAATATGAACAGAAATCATACTGTCGACGTAGATCTCAGTCGGTCCATAATTGGTCATAGATCCCATATAAGGTCCACTTCCGAAAATCACTTAAACGCATATATTTCATTGAATTCTAAAGCTATTGGGATAATATTCGACTTGAATATGTTTTGTGGACGTACAAATCATTTTATAAATTTTTTACCTGTCGGTCCATTATTGGTCATAACTCCCATATAAGGTCCACTTACGAAAATCACTTAAAAGCACATATTTCATTATCAAATAAAGCTATCTTGATAAAATTCGACACAAACATGTTTTGTCCAAATATGAATCACTCTGCGAAATGTTTCCCGAATAGGCCCATAATTGGTCATAGTTCCCATATAAGGTCCACTTCCGAAAAGCACTTAAACACATATATTTCATTGAATTCTAAAGCTATAGGGGTAAAATTCGACTTGAATAAGTTTTGTGTACATATGAATCATTCTACCACTTTTTTCTCGGATCGGTCCATTATTGGTCATTGCTCCTATATAAGGTCCACTTCTGAGAATCACTTAAACATACATATTTCATTGTCAAATAAAGTTAATTTGAGAAAATTCGATACAAATATATTTTGTCTTTACATAAATCACTCTACGAAATTTTTTGCGGATAGGCATATAAAACATTGTACCAAATTTTTTCTGGATCGGTCCATATTTGGTAATAGGTCCACTTCAAAAAATCCCTTAAACGCACATATTTAATTATCAAATAAAGATATCTTGATAAAATATGATTTGTGCACATATGAATCACTCTGCGAAATTTTTCCGGATAGGCCCTTAATTGCTCATAGCTCCTATATAAGGTCCACTTCCTAAAGTCACCTAAACGCACATATTTCATTGATTAATAAAGCTATTGGAGTAAAATTAGACCTGATCTTTGTCTGCATATAAATCATTATACGAAATTGTTTCCTGATCAGTCCATTATTGGTCACAACTCCCATATTCTGTGTATAGATACATCATTCTATTAAAATGTTTTCGAACTGGCGTATTAATATACATTTTCCTGGACCTAATCAAAATTAGTTCGACAAAAAAATTTCGGCAAGTTATCTAAAAATTAGATAGTTAGATGGGTTTCAATAAAAAGTAGTTTGCTGGTGGAGGGTATTTAAGATTCGGCATAGCCGAATATAGCACTCTAACTTGTTGATGTTATAATTTAACCATAATATGCTGTATGCTATAGAAAAAATCAAATTGATTTTAAGAAGACCACAAAAATTTGCTACAATCAAGCAGACAAGCCAATTTGATTCCTTCATTATTTAAAACCCGTACATGTTCAATACATGCATGTATTACTACAACAATTTTATAATTTTTCTATATCCTTATGTATTTGATTTTCCCTTTTGTGGTTCATGATTCGCCGCCCACATTTACACTCAATTGATCAATTATGATTACACACACACACTCGTTTTTAAATCCACACACTTGTAAGACTTAATCAAAACTGAAAAAAAAACTTTAGGGACAACCAAAAAATTGCTATAAAAAAGGGCAAATTAAAGAGGTTGGCTAAAATGGAAAACACACGGATATACATACTAAACATAAATAATACATTCACAAAGAATGAAAAATAAGATCCTATAATTGAAACAATATTTTAATGGCGGTATTGAATTGAATTATTATAGTTAATTTTTATTTCATTTTTACATGTGAGGGCGTTTCTGGGCTTTAAATTAATGTTGACATTTATATTAAATATTTTTTTTTATTTGGATAAAATCTTTTTATACCCTCCACCACCATCAGTGGTGATAGAGGGTATATATAACTTTGTCATTCCGTGTGTAACACCAAGAAATATTCATCTGAGACCCAACAAAGTATATATATTCTGGGTCCTTATCAAATTCTGAGTCGATTTAGCTATGTCCGTCTGTCCGTCTGTCTGTGTAAAACACGCTCACGATAAAACGAAGCAAGAGAGCTTAACCAAATTTACCCAAAATGTTCTTCATTTTCCTAAGTTGTTTGGTATTGCAAATGGGCAAAATCGGTTCACACCGGGAAAAGTTATGAATCAAAATTTAAAACAACCTCGGAAAAAAATAAGCATTTTTTACACATTCTGATGTAATTTTCTCGAAAACTATGCAAGATAATTCCATGGAAATCACCATACATTCGTTTCTGCACGGGGATCAACCCCGCTGAAAATTGCCAGAATCGGTCCACAATTTCATATACCTCCCATACAAAAGTACATATTCCCGGAAAATGGGTTATTTGTTAATAACTTCCGCCACAATGTCGATATCTTCACAAAATTTTACAAATCAAAATCTAATGTCATTAGAATTCTTTCAGAGGAAAAATTTTATGGATCGGTCCATAATTGGACATAGCTCCCATACAAAGTCCCCTCCCGAAAATCACTTAAACGCGCATAACTCATTACTAAATTAAGATATCCATATAAAATTTGGTATAAGTATTGCCCATATGCATAGAAATATTACTGTGAAAGTTTTTTCCGATCGGTCCATAATTGGTCATAGCTCCCATACAAGGTCCCCTCCCGAAAATCACTTAAACGCGCATAACTCATTACTAAATTAAGATATCCATATAAAATTTGGTACAAGTATTGCCAATATACACAGAAATATTACTGTGAAATTTTTTTCCGATCGGTCCATAATTGGTCATAGCTCCCATACAAGGTCCCCTCCCGAAAATCACTTAAACGCGCATAACTCATTACTAAATTAAGATATCCATATAAAATTTGGTACAAGTATTGCCCATATGCATAAAAATATTACTGTGAAATTTTTTTCCGATCGGTCCATAATTGGTCATAGCTCCTATACAAGGTCCCCTCCCGAAAATCACTTAAACGCGCATAACACATTACTAAATTAAGATATCCATATAAGGTTTGGTAAAAGTATTATTCATATGCACAGAAATATTACTGTGAA